CACTTATTCTCAAACATTTCAAATGTTACCTAACCATAGTGGCCTTCCCAGACCACTGGGTATAAAACTGCAACATAATCACTATAAAGCACAATATATTTTTACTGTTTATATATTTTATCATTTTTATAATATATATATACATATATTTTCAATATACAATATTCTGTTTACTACTTGACTTTCCCCATGAGAATATAAGCTCCATGAAGGCAAGGATTTTATTCTTTTATAATTACTACATTCCAATACCTAGAACTCTGCCTGAAACAGCAGGTACTCAATAAATATTTGTTGAACAAAAGCCTATTTTGCAACAGTGAGGAGCAAAGAGTTATGATGTATCTAAGGTCTCCACTGGCAACAAAGGTCAAACCCTTCACTCTATATGGAGATAACAGGAGTTGGGGAGACCATCCCTTGAAAAGGAGGAGGCTCTTGTGACCCTGGACTAGGGGAAAGCTACCTACGGAAACAGCCAGGCGTCTGGAACAGTCCTGATCAACACTACCCAAGCCTAGTCTTGCTCTGACCCAGGGATCCTAGTGTGTGGTCTTTGCCCCCCTCTCTACTTACTAATCCACAGGCCAGTGCTTGCTCAGGTAACAGGAAAGCAGCAAAGTCCTTCAACAGCTGAGGCCAGTCTTGAAGCAGAATTACAGGCTCTTATAGAGATCCACAGCTGTCTGGCTCTGAGTGCTTGACTCAAACTCATGGATGACCTGAAGGAAGTCTTCATACTTGTCAGGGATATGTTGCAGGGCTTCTCGGACCTATATGAGAGGACTTTTGATCATCCAATCTCCTTTCTTTGGGCCCTGACAAGAAACAATGGGAGCATGGAAGGAGGAGTTACTGTTAAAGAGCTCCAGATTATCCATCAGAGGCTACTCCTCTGACAGATCCTGAGATCTGATGATTAATGGAAGCCACAGCGCCATGAGCAGTGCAGAGCTCTTTTTCTGACAGTGAGGAATGGAAAAATTTCCATTTTCCAGGGACCACAGTGCTACCTGCAAAATCAGGTAAACTTTTCTCTAGCTCACAGCCTGGACCTCTCCTTCCTGGTTTCACCTCCATGTTGAAATAGATAGGGAGTGCTTGGTACATATATTTCAGCATGGTATCATCTGAGGGTAAATAATACGTAAATTAGGAATGTTAGTAAAATATCAGGAGACAAGAAAAACCATGTCAATCACTGCTAGGACTCCAGTTTGCTGGGAGTATAAAGGAACCAGGTGGTTACCAAAAGAATGAGATAGGGACCGCTGACACAAACAGGCTGGTTCATGACTCTGAAGATCACTGAGGTCCACTTTCTGGTCAATGTACCAAATGTCTGTTTTCTCCAGCCAAGGGCTCAGTTAAAGTCTTTATTAGCCTACCCTCCCACTGATGATGGTGGCTATCACCTTTCCTCAGTTTTGGGGCAACAGAGGGGTGGTATGCCTGGGCAGTAACAATAAATCTGTTGATGACTAAACTTGGTGTCCTTGTGGTTCACTCACACAGCCCTTTTGATATTTCTAGGAAAACAAAGGCAGAAGCATAGAAGGCTGTTGTGCAGCCTAAAAGACAGACTTTATTTTAAAAACATCTCCCCTGAAGGAAAAGCAGTCTTGTTCAGAGGGGCTGGCAGGAACAGGAAGCAGCATTTGCCTACCCTGGTCAGATAAGCCTGAGCAAAGGCCAAATATTTCTGTTCCTGGAGTAGATCTCACTCGAGGATGTCCTCATCATACAGCCACAGCAGCTTGGAGGTGTCCTTGCTGGCCCGGGCCCGACTGCCCTGCTTGCTGCGAGCGCGATGATTACTCCGGCCCTTTCCTGGAGCTTTGATGTTCTCTCCTTAATACAGCTGTTTTTCTGTGCCTGCGCCCTCTGTTCTCCCCAACCCACCAGCGGCACCCCACCCCCATCCAAGCCCTATTCAAAACTACATAGTAACTTGGCAGAAAAGCTGCTGGAAAAATGCTAGGACAGGTGACGTCTGTCCCTGTCAAGTCAGCTCTATGGAGAGTCGACAGCATGACTGCATTAACTGGGATAATAATGAGATGCTTAGCTACTGCATATTGAACACAGAAGTCTAAGTGTGGTCTGATGCTGGGCTCTCAAAGAACTATGTCCTGGTGAGGAACAAGCAGTACTTTCTGAAATAAACATTGCTCTTGGCCTCATATATGACTGATGAATTAAGAACCACTAGAAAACCCTACATGAACAGAGTAGATAGAAATCTAGCAGCTGATGAGAGACAAATTTTTAATTTTTGAGAATCTCTTCTCTGCAATGGCAGCAGGTTAAACATCTATTTGGGAGTAGGGAGACTGGCAGGCGGGATCCAAAGGATTTCTTCTGGAAACTGGAACCTGTTTTATAAGCCTGTCACTCTGCACATGTCCCTGAGTCAATGAGGCCTCCTGAGACTTGTCCCCACTCAGACCTGTCCTACTCACCCAGTGGGGTCCTGCTGGTGTCTACTTCTGGAGCAGCCTTCGGGGAGGCACAGGTAACAGGTGGCTTCTCGGCAGGGTCTCCAATGGCTTCGTCCATCATTTCATCCTCTGTCTGCAGGATTTCCATTCCTTCTGCCTCTTCCTACTCTTCTTTCCCAGGCTGAGTTCTCTTCCTGGGAGTTCTCTTCCTCAGACTCACCCTCCTGACTCATGTACTTTTCAGATGTGAACCAAGTCAGTTTCTCCATTGTTTCCTGAAAAACCCCCAAACAGTACCCATGAGGGATATAATGGCTCACCATGGGCTACTTATAGAGTTTTTCAGAAGGAACTGAGGTTAATTAATTGGTGAGGGAGGTTGGAAGCCAATGGGTTTTTTTCCGGGGATTTTGGAGTTTTTTTTTTTTTTCTCTCTCCTCTTCTTTTCATTTTTTTGGCCACGCTGTGCAGCTTAAGAGATGTAAGTTCCCTGACCAGGGACTGATGCCAGGCTCCAGCAGTGAAAGTGGCAAATCCTAATCACTGGGCCATCAGGGAATTCCTGAGCAGATGTGTTTTGAAACATCTCCCTGAAGATAACTGTCCTTTGCCAGGGTCCATGCTTATGATCCTTTTTCTTTTTTGTGGTTATTTACATTGTGCTCAGGTGATTCAATATAATGTAAATGAGTTTAAATCAAATATAATAAGGAACATTTAACTCTTTCCCTCTCCTCTCACCAAAGACAAAAATGATTTTAGGACTATCTCTAGTGCAAAAAGCAAGCAGGTGGCCTATCAATAAATTAAATCTATTACTGAATCCACAAAATATTGAAGAATATTGCCCAAGTCTCACCTGGAGTTCTGGGACAGACAGCACAGATTCCTTAGAAGCTGATGACATCTCGTCTTCCTCATCCTGGGTAAGGTCGTCAAAATCCTCTTCTTTCTCTGGCCCATCCTTCTCCCTGTAGTTTCTGGCCCAGCTGGGTCCCACTGACTGACCATCAACTCTGGATAAGTCTTCAGGCTTCCTTGGAGAAGGAAGCCCCCCTTCCTTGGGGGGCTACCATTTCAGGGTCAGTGGAGGATGAAGTATCCCTTGGGAACCTTTTGGTTACATCTCTTGAATTTCCTCCATCAGGAGGCTCATGAGAAGCTGAAAGGATTTTATTAGGTTAATGAAAAAGTAATTGTGGTTTCAGACTGTAAATTGTAAATGATTACAATTAGGCTCAAACACACCTTTATTAATCAAAATATGAACCACTACAATCAACACATTTTTGCCAATGACAAATATGTTTGTTTATTCTTGTAGCATAACAAATCATGCTTCAGGAGTAGAACTCTTGGAAAGCAGTTTGTGCCTCCTGCTGGTTATGGAAGCATTTTTCCTGCAAAATGTTATTGAGATGCTTGAAAAAGTGGCAGTCGGTTGGTGAGAGGTTAGGGGAATATGGCATATGAGGCAAAACTTCATAGCCCAATTCGTTCGGCTTTTGAAGGGTTGGTTGTTCGATGTGCAGTCAGGCACTGTCATGGAGAAGAATTGGGCCCTGTTGAACTATGCTGGCTGCAGGCATTGCAGTTTTTGGTGCATCGTGCTGATTTGATGAGCATACTTCTCAGATGTAACAGTTTCATTGGGATACAGAAAGCTGTAGTGGATCAGATGGGCAACAGACCACCAAACAGTGACCATGGCCTTTTTTGGTTGCAATTTTAGCTCTGAGAAGTGTTTTGGAGCTTCTTCTTAGTCCAACCACTGAGCTGGTCCTCATTGGTTGTCATATAAAATCCACTTTTCATTACATGTCACAGTCCAATCAAGAAATGGTTCATTGTTGTTGCACACAGTAAGAGAAGGCGACACTTCAAAATGACAATATTTTTGATTTGTGGTCAGTTCATGAGATACCCACTTACTGAGCTTTTCACTGTTCCAATTTGCTTCAAATGTCATACAACTATAGAATGACTGACGCTGAATTCTTTGGTAACTTCTCCTATAGCTCTAAGATTAGCTTCAGTGACTGCTCTCCACTGGTTGTTGTCAGCTTCTGATGGCTGGCCACTACACGTCTCATCTTCAAAGCTCTCATCTCCTTTGCAAAACTTCTTGAACCACCACTGCACTGTACATTCATTAATTCCTGGGCCAAATGCATTGTTGATGTTGTGAGTTGTCTCCACTGCTTTTCCACCCATTTCAAACTCAAATAACAATTTGCTTTTTGACTAACATCATTTCCTAGTCTAAGATAAACATAAAATCCACAGCAAGTAATGTCATTAGCAAAAAACATAAAACAAGAAATGCAGGTTAAAATGATGTATAAAAATACGCACATTTATTTAAGAATGTATTCCAATATCAAACAGCAAAGTTCAACAATATGAAAGTGCAATTAGTTTTGCACCAACCTAATAGCTGGATCGGAGAAGGCAATGGCACCCCACTCCAGTACTCTTGCCTGGAAAATCCCATAGACGGAGGAGCCTGGTGGGCTGCAGTCCATGGGGTCACTAAGAGTCGGACACGACTGAAGCGACTTAGCAGCAACAGCAGCAATAGCTGGATGACACCTCCTCCTGTTGTAGGCCTGCCTGTTCCTTCCCCTCTCTAGGCCCGCTTGACTCCTCACTTGGGAAGCCAGTGTCCAACTCCACAGAGTGTTCTTCTTTGATTTCATCATGGCTGTCCTGCTCCAGGGATCCACCACAGGTGTCCTGCCCAGGGTCTTTAGGTTCCGTCTTAACGGTTTCCTCTAAGTCCTCAGGGCGAGTGTGCAGAGGTTCCCGGAAGCCCTGAGGCAGTGGTTCAGGGGCCGGCCTCCCCTCCTCTGCTTTCACAACGGTCCAGCCACAGGCACTGCTCTCCGACAGCTGCTCCTGGCACGCTCGGTCTGTAGCTGGAGGCCCTGGGCTGTGCTCCTCTTTGGGGAAGACAGCAGCACAGACAGGAGACGGTTCCCGAGGTTCTAATTTGGGTTCGAGGCCTTGAAAGGCATTTTTCCCCTCAGCCAAAGGACAAGCTGTGTCCACATTCACTGGGGCTTTATCTTCAGGGGTGGATGGTACAGAGAGATTCACAGAGGTGCCAGAGACAATTAAGGGAGGGATGGAGGAGGCCACAAGGGGCTGGTTCAACGCACAGGGGAAGGCAGTGGGGTTAACCAGCAGGGTGGTGATGGGGATGGTCTGAGGACTTCGGGCCACAGCTGCACTGACAGGCTGCACCATGTTGCAGCCGCTGCCGAGGCTCACAACCTTCACGGTTGTGGCAGGAACAGTGAAGAACACAGGCGCAGGGTGGATGAGAGGGGCGGGCTTCAGACAGAGAGAGGCCTTGGGTCCCTTTCTCTTGGAGGCTCTCCGTTTCACACATGGCTTTTGAAACTCAGAAGGAGCAAGTGAGGGCAGCATCACCTTGGACACAGGGGCGGAGGAGAGCTGTTGGTGGTGGTGGCAGTGGCAGCAATGGGAGGGTGCAGAGTGACATATCAGTCTGAGGAGTCAGTGAGGCAACTGAGCTAAGAATTCCTAGAGACAGCTGACTTCAGTACTCTGGGCCTCTGAAGAGAAATCTGGACCAAAGACACAGATCTGAAAATCATGAAGAGACAGAACACCAACAATCATGAGTCTGGGGGAGACCCCATGCTGCAAAACTACTGTGTAACGCGGACATTTAAGGGCAGAGTTCACGAGAGAGCAACCCGAGATAAGAGTCCTAGTATCATAGTAGATAGGAGTATAGGAGTTTTAAAACCAGACCTATAATTTTCTGAAGTAAAGTTTATCAAGTACCTGGTATAATTAGTAAAACTAGACACACAGTAAGGCATATTATCTTGAAATTTCAAAACACTGAAGAAATAGGAAAAATCCTACGTACTGCCGGAGAGAGAGAAAAAATCACGTGTCATAAAAAGGTTCAGTAGTCAAAAGGGCATCAAATTTCTAAAGAGCCACTGCTAGAAACTAGAAGAAAATGGAGTCCTTAAAGTGTTCTGATAAAAGTGATTTTCAACCTAGAATGTTAGACCCACTGATGTGGGAGAACAGACATACAGACATAGTTCAAACATCTAATTTTGAGTAAATATAGATTCATAGACAGGTCTTCTGTACACTTGTTACACAGTAACAGTAGTTACATATACAAACCAGGTATACAGTACAATAGCAAAACTAGGAAATTATAATATGGGTCATGTCATGTCATAATACATGATGAATACAAGCAGTTTAAATCTAAAACTTTGTTTCTCAAGCACTCTACCTCAGAATGCTACTAGGATGTGCTCCACTAAAACAAGGGAAAAGAGATGTGGGGTTAAAGAAATAAGAGCATCTGGACTTCCCTGGTGGTCCAAAGGTTAAGAACCTGCCTGACAGTGCAGAAGACACAGGTATGATCCCTACTTCTGGAACATTCCACATGTCACAGGGCAACTAAGCCCATTCACCAAAACTACTGAGTTCATGTTCCAGAGCCAATACACTGCAACTACTGAAGCCTGAACAGCCTAGAGCCTGTACTCCACAACAAGAGAGGCCATCACAATGAGAAACCCGTCAGTTCAGTTCAGTTCAGTCGCTCAGTCATGTCTGACTCTTTGCGACCCCATGATTCGCAGCACGCCAGGCCTCCCTGTCCATCACAAACTCCTGGAGTGTACTCAAACACATGTCCATCGCATCAGTGATGCCATCCAGCCATCTCATCCTCTGTCATCCCCTTCTCCTGCCCCCAATCCCTCCCAGCATCAGGGTATTTTCCAATGAGTCAACTCTTTCCATCAGGTGGCCAAAGTATTGGAGTTTCAGCTTCAGCATCAGTCCTTCCAATGAACACCCAGGACTGATCTGCTTTAGGATGAACTGGTTGGATCTCCTTGCAGTCCAAGGGACTCTCAAGAGTCTTCTCCAACACCACAGTTCAAAAGCATCAATTCTTCAGTGCTCAGCTTTCTTCACAGTCCAACTCTCACATCCATACATGACTACTGGAAAAACCATAGCCTTGACTAGATGGACTTTTGTTGGCAAAGTAATGTCCCTGCTTTTTAATATGCTATCTAGGTTGGTCATAACTTTCCTTCCAAGGAGTAAGCGTCTTTTAATTTCATGGCTATAATCACCATCTGCAGTAATTTTGGAGCCCAAAAAAATAAAGTCTGACACTGATCACACAGACCACAGTCTTGTCTAACTCAATGACACTAAGCCATGCTGTGTGGGGCCACCCAAGATGGACAGGTCATGATGGAGAGGTCTGACAGAATGTGGTCCACTGGAGAAGGGAATGGCAAACCACTTCAGTATTCTTGCCTTGAGAACCCCATGAACAGTACGAAAAGGCAAAATGATAGGATACTGAAAGAGGAACTCCCCAGGTCGGTAGGTGCCCAATATGCTACTGGAGATCAGTGGAGAAATAACTCCATAAAGAATGAAAGGATGGAGCCAAAGCAAAAACAATACCCAGTTGTGGATGTGACTGGTGATAGAGGCAAGGTCCGATGCTGTAAAGAGCAATATTGCATAGGAACCTGGAATGTTAGGTCCATGAATCAAGGCAAATTGGAAGTGGTCAAACAGAAGATGGCAAGAGTGAATGTCGACATTCTAGGAATCAGTGAACTAAAATGGACTGCAATGGGAGAAATTAACTCAGATGACCATTATATCTACTACTGTGGGCAGGAATCCTTTAGAAGAAATGGAGAGCCATCATGGTCAACAAAAGAGTCCGAAATGCAATACTTGGATGCAGTCTCAAAAATGACAGAATGATCTCTGTTCATTTCTAAGGCAAACCATTCAATATCACGGTAATTCAAGCCTATGCCCCAACCAGTAATGCTGAAGAAGCTGAACAGTTCTAAGAAGACCTACAAGACCTTTTAGAACTAATACCCAGAAAAGATGTCCTTTTCACTATAGGGGACTGGAATGCAAAAGTATGAAGTCAAGAAACACCTGGAGTAACAGGCAAATTTGGCCTTGGAGTACAGAATGAAGCAGGGTAAAGGCTAGTAGAGTTCTGCCAAGAGAATGCACTGGTCATAGCAAACACCCTCTTCCAACAACACAAGAGACTTTACACATGGACATTACCAGATGGTCAATGCCGAAATCAGATTGATTATATTCTTTGCAGCCAAAGATGGAGAAGCTCTATATAGTCAGCAAAAACAAGACCAGGAGCTGACTGTGGCTCAGATCACGAACTCCTTATTGACAAATTCAGACTTAAACTGAAGAAAGTAGGGAAAACCACTAGACCATTCAGGTATGACCTAAATCAAATCCCTTATGACTATACAGTGAAAGTGAGAAATAGATTTAAGGGACTAGATCTGATAGACAGAGTGCCTGATGAACTATGGACAGAGGTTCGTGACACTGTACAGGAGACAGGGATCAAGATCATCCCCATGGAAAAGAAATGCAAAAAGGCAAAATGGTTGTCTGAGGAGGCCTTACAAATAGCTGTGAAAAGAAGAGAAGCAAAAAGCAAAGGAGAAAAGGAAAGATATTCCCATTTGAATGCAGAGTTCCAAAGAATAGCAAGGAGAGATAAGAAAGCCTTCCTCAGCGATCAATGCAAAGAAATAGAGGAAAACAACAGAATGGGAAAGACTAGAGATCTCTTCAAGAAAATTAGAGATACCAAGGGAACATTTCATGCAAAGATGGGCACAATAAAGGACAGAAATGGTATGAACCTAACAGAAGCAGAAGATATTAAGAAGAGGTGGCAAGAACACACAGAAGAACTGTACAAAAAAGATCTTCACGATCCAGATAATCACAATGGTGTGATCACTCACCTAGAGCCAGACATCCTGGAATGTGTAGTCAAGTGGGCCTTAGAAAGCATCACTACAAACAAAGCTAGTGGAAGTGATGGAATTCCAGTTGAGCTATTTCAAATCCTGAAAGATGATGCTGTGAAAGTGCTGCACTCAATATGCCAGCAAATTTAGAAAAGTCAGCAGTGGCCACAGGACTGGAAAAGGTCAGTTTTCATTCCAATCCCAAAGAAAGGCAATCCTGAAGAATGCTCAAACTACCGCACAATTGCACTCATCTCACACGCTAGTAAAGTAATGCTCAAAATTCTCCAAGCCAGGCTTCAGCAATATGTGAACCGTGAACTTCCAGATGTTCAAGCTGGTTTTAGAAAAGGCAGAGGAACCAGATATCAAATTGCCAACATTTGCTGGATCATCAAAAAAGCAAGAGAGTTCCAGAAAAACGTATATTTCTGCTTTATTGACTATGCCAAAGCCTTTGACTGTGTGGATCACAATAAACTGTGGAAAATTTTGAAAGAGATGGGCATACCAGACCATCTGACCTGCCTCTTGAGAAACCTATATGCAGGTCAGGAAGCAACAGTTAGAACTGGACATGGAATAACAGACTGGTTCCAAATAGGAAAAGGAGTATGTCAAGGCTGTATGTTGTCACCCTGCTTATTTAACTTATATGCAGAGTACATCATGAGAAACGCTGGGCTAGATGAAGCACAAGCTGGAGTCAAGATTGCCGGGAGAAATATCAATAACCTCAGATATGCAGATGACACCACCCTTATGGCAGAAAGTGAAGAGGAACTAAAAAGCCTCTTGATGAAAGTGAAAGAGGAGAGTGAAAAAATTGGCTTAAAGCTCAACATTAAGAAAACTAAGATCATGGCATCTGGTCCCATCACTTCATGGGAAACAGATGGGGAAACAGTGGAAACCGTGTCAGAGAAACCCATATACCACAACTAAAGGGAAGCACCTGCCCTCCAAAACTAGAGAAAATCTGCACAAAACAAAGACCCAGCTCAGTCAAAAACAACTCTTTTTTTTTTTTTTTTAAAGAGGGCTTTCCTGGTGACTCAGTGTTAAGAATCCACTTACCAATGCAGGAGACAGAGACACAGGCTCAATCCCTGATCCGGGAAGATCCCACACGCCACGGAGCAACTAAACCTGTGCTCCAGAGAAAGGGAACCACAAATCCTGAGCCCCTGAGCTGCCGCCATGAAAGTTCGCACACCCCAGAGCCCGCGCTCGGCGACAAGGGACGCCACAGCAACAAGAGCGTATCCCCCTGCCCGCCGCAACTGGAGACAAGCCCACATAGCAACCAAGACCCAGCAGAGCCAAAAAATAAATAAATAAAATTATTAACAAAAAATTAAAAAGACAGAAACAAGAGGATCCAACACAAGTAAGAGGTGAAACAAAACCCCAGGAAAATCGTGAAGAAAAAGCCAAAGACATTAGTGCAGCAAGCCAAGAGAGCAGCATGGGCAGAGTGGAGCCGGATCAGCGCGCTCTAGGAAGGACTTCTTCAGGACGATGAAGGTGAAAGCAGAGCCCCTCAAATACCTGAACACGCTGAAAAGAGATTTATAAAACTTAAGCAGACTTCAGTGTTAAACTGATAATAAATACATAATAAAACCAAGTCCCACTCACCCTCCAAAAATGCAATTATTAACTCCAGGAGAAACAAAAGATTCAGCAGGAAAAGCAAAGTAATCATGATACACTACATGGATCAGCTGTGAGGAGTTTTTACATACTGTTTATAATGTAAACTCTGGAAAAAATCCAGAGTTATACTGTGATATAACTGAGGTGAAGCAGTGAGAGAGTGTGGAGAGAACTATCTTCATCTTCCATGGTTTCAGTTTAATAGAGAAGGCCCAAATCCGAAAAGTCAAGTGACAGCAATTCTAAGCATTCTACCTAGATCCTAGATTAGAGGTAAATGTACCATCCCTGCAGAAATCTTGCTTAGCAGGAAACTGGGAGAAAAATGATTGTTTTTCATGACAAGGCTCACAAAGGTATTTAACTCTTTACAGCAGTAGTCCCTGACCTTTTTGGCACCAGAGACCAATTCTGTAGAAGGCAATTTTTCCACAGGATGGGGGTGAGGAGACCCAAGGGATGGTTTTAGGGTGATTCTCATAAGAAGCTGGCAACCTAGATCCCTCACATGCACAGTTCACAATAGGGTTCATACTCATATGAGAATCTAATGCCACTGTTGATCTGACAGGAGGTGGAGTTCAAGCGTCAATACAAGCAACAGGGAATGGCAGTAAATACAGAGGAAACTTAGGTTACTAGCCTGCCATTCACCTCTTGCTGTGTAGCCAGTTACCAACAGGCTATGGACCAGTACCAGTCTGTGGTCTGGGGGCTGGGGACCTCTTTATAAAGTATATAAAGTATACTTTATAACTTTGATAGAAACATCTAAATTAAAAGAATTAAGAAGGATATAAGTGGATTGTTACCTACCCTTTGAAGAAGGTTAGAGTGGAAGAAGAGAATAAATAACTAAAGGAAAACAAATTTGAGGAGTATTTTTACATTTGAACAGCTTTACATCTAGCAAAAATATCCATAACAGGGGAAGAAGATGATACTCCATACAAAAAGAATAGATCAATGACCTTAGAAAGGAAAAGAGGGCTAGTGTGCAGTTAGGAGGGACTAGCGTTAGATAAAAGGCTATTCACTGATTCTGAGAAAAAGATAAGAATGGCTGCACTCAACCAAGGTGCCTGGCGGAGCGTGCAGGGAGCACTTACTTTAAGGATGTTGTTCAGGAGCTCTGTTCATTGTGAGGTTCTTGATTCTCACTGTCAGCTGGTGGGCAGTCTTGCAAGTGAGAAGGTACTTGCTGATCAGAGGCTTGGGAAAATGGGTCCCTTCAAAGTGCTTCAGGCCTAAAGCCAACAAACTGAGAAACGGGCAGTAACACTCAATCTCACTTGACAATCCATCCAGCTGAAAAGCCTCCCAAACAAACTTCACATTCTGCAACCCACATTTTTCACAGCTAATTCTTGTACAAGTTAATGGAAACTCAATAGAAAATTTCAGATATTCACTGAATGCTAAGAAGTACTATGCAAGTAAGACTCAGTGAGGTGTTCCCATCAAGTGATAAGAGGCAAAACCAGGCATAAATTGCTAATAAATGTCACAACATGATGTGTTTTATAGCAATCATAAAAACAAAGTTTGAGGGAAGGAGAATGGCTCTAATAAAACAAATATAAAATGAATATTGGGCACCATGTTAAACATATTAAATCCACACCAACAGTACCTCCCAATATAACATACTCAATTAGTTACCTGTATACATATTGGCTGATGGCAAACCTTTATCAAATAATCTCACTCTTGAGAATTTACCCAAAGAGATAAACTCAAAGAGTTTCAAAAGTTCTATGCACAAAGATCCTTGGTGAAGCCTCACTAAGAACAGCCAAACAACAGAAGTAGGGAAAAGAGGCAAATAAAAGGACTATGATAGGGCCATTAATACTGCCTGGAAGGACAATATACAGAGACAAAAAAAAAAGACAATACTACACTATGGCACATAAAAAAACAATTTCAAGAAGTTAAGCTGAAAAAAGCAAAACGAAATTAAACTCAAATTGCCAATAATTATGTATGAAATATAAAAAGAAAAAATCATTGTCTTTGGGCTGGTGAGGATAATGGATACAAATGTTTTTTCCTTAAAATTTTCCTCCAACAGTATTATGAGATTAGTTTTTATGATAAACAAAACACAAATTAAAACATAAAATGTTTCCAAAATGTATACCTAATCCCTAAAAAGAGCAATACTGGAACAGGAACATACTATAGAACTATATCCATCTACATGGCTTTTCTTTGTCTTTTGTGTCCATTTCTTATTACAAAAATCTTCTGATTTTCTTCTCTGCTACACTAAGTCCTTACCTGTCCTCTGCCTTGGTGAAGAAATTCTTATCCTGGGGATTCTTGGCCTTCAGAGAACACACTGGAAGTAGCTCTGGATACATGAAAACCTTGCTTGTGGCTAGGATCCAAGCCACTTGCTTTGGCAAATAGGGCAATCTATAGGCTGTAAGAAGAAAATTCATTGTAAATGAAATTCCAGAACAAAAGAGGGCTTCACAAAAGCTTCTGAATGCATTTTGGCATTTAGAGAGAGCTGATCCTAAATAACATGTGTATCCACCCACATACCCCTCTCCCAAAAGCTTGCACAATCATTCTCAGCCTAACATGTACCTAAAAGGAGTCCCATTCAACATTATTAAAAGTTGATTGTCTTTTTCTTTCCTGTGTGGAACACTTAACACACTAAATAACATAAACACTTATAAAGTACCAAGTAACACCTGGCAGATACTCTATGGTCAAAAAATTTTTACCTCCTTCCCCTTTTAAATCCTTGAAAAGTAAGTGAACTTCAACAATGTTTTCTTTCTTCCAGGATAAGACTCCAACTTCTTTAATCTCCCTCACAACTCTGGTATTCCAAGTTTCACTTATTCTTACTTAACTTTCATTAAATTCTCCCAGATTCTTCCTGAGGTTGGGACAAAAAAATCAGAAAGAGAATGAGACAATTCAGTCTCATTCGTTTCTGTCTTGCTGTCTAAGCCTCCCAATTCCAGGCACTTCTGCCTTTTCAGAGATGAGCACCTCTATAGTCATATTTTTCCTTTTGTAAATGTAATCCCCAGAAGAAAAACACAGGTCGCTATATATGTAAGTTATAACCACATGCGTACTCTGTTGTGTCCAACTCTTTGCAACCCTATCAACTGTAGTCTGTCAGGCTCCTCTGTCCATGTGATTCTCCAGGCAAGAATACTTGAAGTGGGTTCCCATTTCCTTCTATAGGGGATCTTCCCGAGTCAGGGATCGAACCCATGTCTCCTGCGTCTCTTGCATTGGCAGGTGGATTCTTTTACCACAGAGCCACCTGGGAAGCCCAAGTCATAACTGTAGTCTGGTGTTAAGTTTTCATTACCAACATATAACTAATAAAGTGGTTTGAGATCAGTGTCTATGACATAATACACTTACATTCAATTAAATTATAAAAGTGGGAGTTAAAATGAAGACCAAAGTCCAAATCCAGAGCAAACCACAATTAATGTGTTAAACCAGGAAGAAATGAGAAGTAAATATTTGATTTAAGGGAACAGCAAATATTTTCGCAAAAAAAAACTAAACCAATGAAAGTAGAAACCAAACCTGAAGATGTCTTTAAACTATTGAACATGGCAATGCACAACATTTTTACTTTGTTCCTAACTCCCAAATCAAAGTTTCACTCAAAATGAAGACACCACTATAATCATTATGGGAAATAAAATGATGTTAATGAAAAAGACAGTAAAAACCTAAATATAACCTGACTTTACCACTTGACTTCCATCTTTATCTGATATCGTGGTCTTGACCTAATTCCTAATACTTACCCTCATATCTATTTAAGTCGAATTATTAGCAATGAGTCCCACATCTCTACCTCCCACATCCCTGTCCTGTTCACTGACTCCATCGTCTGCTTAAACCCCAGTATTATTACCTAGTTCTAGAACTTAGGTAATGAACACACAGGGAGGATAAAAGAGAGAAGAAATTACAAATACCCATCTCTTCCAACCCTAGGAAATTATCCCTAGGAAATGGTCTGTGGGGTAAGACGAACACCTTGCACTGCAAATAAGAACTTAAAGTGGACCCATCTGTTCCCTACCAGTCTTCGTGACAGTTTTACGAGGACTTGAGTCAACGGTGACTTGTGTGCTGAAGTCTTCAATGAGCTGCATAGCTCCCATCAGGTTACAGGGTTGGAACAAGGTCTGAAACTTGGGGTTGAACTGATGATGGAGGGCAATGGAGCTTTGAGCAAAGGTTCCCAGCTCTTTCTGGGAAAACAGGACACAAAGGAGATGTGAGTTCCAGACAATTGATACCAGTAGCTCTTAGCCTCTGAGAGAAAAACTGTCCTTCCTACAATAGGATAAAATTGGTTAAAATCATCATAACATCTTTCATAATTAACGTTTTTCCATTAAGAGAGCTCTTCTACTAAATCTTCAGATATTTGAGGATCTCTGATACACTAATTTATTCCTGTTTTATTCTCAGTCTGAGTGTTCCTCAGCCTTTTGGATGTACGTTCTAGCTCCCCAGATGGAATTAAAATTCTCAAGAGTGAGAGCCATTACTTAAAAAATTAATAATTTTTTTTATTTGTTTCTCTGAATAACACTCAGAATAAAGTATTGCTCGTGATCCTCTGAACACAATAAGAGAGAAACATACTCCATTGACTATCCAAGGAAGATCTGATTATGAGTCAACTCAGACTCCAGAGACTTACCCAACAGGCAAAGAATATCCTTATTACTGCCCCAAAGTTCAGATTTTAAAATGTGAATTTTTTGCCCATTCCGTGCTGCTCATGGGATCTTATTTAGCTCCCCAATAAGGGAATGAAGCTGGGCCCTGACAGTGAAAGCGACGAATCTGACACTACTGGACCACCAGGGAATTCCCAAAATTTTGAAATTAAAAGCCCTTCCTCCAAAATATTTCAAAATGCCACAAGCAAAATTAATTTTATACATAAAACAATGATATCAAGCTTAATAAATAATGAATTCAATAAAAAGAAGAGAAGTACCGAAAGCTTAAGATGGGTGGAACTACAGGTAGGAAGAGCACCCAATAAAAAGGTAAGAGGAATTGTCTTTAGAAAATTGAATACGCACTCTGTCCTTTCCTAGGGAGCAGTAACTTATGTTTTCTCAGCAAGCATAGGAAGCCATAGAAATATTTACCAAAACTTGCAGGAGAGAATTAATATAGCTCATGATGACTTGGTATCTGTGAGAAATGACTTCCTAACTAATTGAATACACAATTCTTCAGATTTATGAGTATATGAAACCTAACAAGAAATATCCTGGTGGTACTGGCCTCCGAACTGAGACTGGGGTTGGAACTGGCAAGAAGATGAATTTGCGTCAAGAGCTGAACATGCTGGGAAGGGAAAGAAAATAATACAGTGTGACATGTTATGATGTTGTCATCTCAGAAACCCAGAAGACCAATGTCAGTGACTTTATCAAACACATTTCACTTTCTAGGGAGACTATGAGAACAATAAAGTTATTTCAGTATGAATTTTTTTCTCAGATATGCTCTACTTCAGCAAAATGACAGAATCAAAGGAAGTTTAACCTCAAAGCAGAGGAACTGAGATTAGAAAGAACAAAAACTACTCTGGTGTAAGACTGTTCAATTCAGAAGGGATTACTAAAGATTCTTTGAAATCTTACAGCATTCTTTTTCATTTATTTTTTAGGCTATGCTGTGCAGCATGCGGGATCTTAGTTCCGAACCAGGGATAGAGTTTGTGCCCCCTGAATTGGACGCTTTGAGTCTTAACCACTAAACCACCAGGAAAGTCCTTTTACATGCATTCTTATCTGAGCCATAAAGACATGAACATGGTGACTTTTCAAGGTCCTGACTGATGTCAAGATGCTGTGGTCCTGTGGTTTCAATGGTTACCAAGACACCTATTTCTGACTTTCACAAGCTGCTAATTTTTGGCTTCATCTCAAAAGATGAAGATGATCCAATATTAACATTACCAAGAAGAGTCTTACCTGCTGCATCTGCTGCTGGAGCCTCTTCCTCTGTGCTGGGTCTAGAATCAGAGTCTGATGAACCTTCTCCCTCTGGGGTTTAACCCTCTCTATTTCCTGCTGCTGTTTAAGATTTTTTTATCTTCAGCTGTTCAAGTAGCTCCTTCATGGTGTGATGTTGCTCATTTAGTAAGTTGGCCAGTGGTTCCTCAAACCTATCCCCCACAGGGAGATGACTGGATTTGAACATTTCCATGGGTCCAAAACACATCCAGTTCCTTCCTACCATTGGCTAAGCCAGTCTGAGCAACGTCCATCTACTGCTAATCCTCAAGTCTCACTTTAGCCAAAAGGCAAACTCCTAGCCTACCCCAATCTTCTCCCAAAATAGATTCACATAAGATGGTTCTGAATCATCCCCTTGCCATTCTCCTACAATCAGTACTCAAAGTAATATACTAATGAAGGTGAAATTAAACTAAAATCTAAACATAGGGTAATGTCTGGATAACAAAGCAGCCAAGGAGCTAATGGGAACCCATGATTTTCGCATCCCACTGACAGTTCCATTAATCTGGGACTTATTCTTAATGGTGATACAGAATCTTCCCAAAGCACAACCTCTGTTCTCTAAGCTCGCTGCTACTCCCAAACTGGACCCCAGGTCCAGTTTCTCCTGTTCTCCAGCTCCTATCCATTCAGTCTGTGCTGACTTCCTTTTGTAAAAACTCAAAGACCTTCTACATGGAGTAGAAAGGGCATAAACTAAAACATAGGGTGCTTACATGCATGCTAAGTCACTTCAGTCCTGTCTCTTTGCAACCCAACAGATTGTAGCCCACAGGGCTCCTCTATCCATGGGATTTCTCAGGCAAGAATACTGGAGTGGGTTGCCATTTCCTAACTCCAGGGGATCTTCCTGAAACATGGATTCAACCCACGTTTCTTGCGTCTCCTGCATTGGCTGGCGGGTTCTCTACCACTAGTGCCACCTGGGAAGCCCTAGTTTAGATGAATAGTGAGAGACTGGTTCAAGTATGACCCTACTCATCTCCATGAAAATATCTTAGCCCTCGAAATTCCTCCTCCACGCTTTCTATCGCTACCCTCCCAGCCTCACTTTGTAAGAGACAGATAGAGACTGTCAGGGGCTGAAGTAAGAATCCAAATGCTAGTTCTGAGGTAGACGCAGAAGAAAACACTCAAGTGATTAAGCAAAAGTCGCTACTCTATGAAATCAGCATACAAACTGCTCAAGCAGCTATGACTAGCAGGTTATCCTAATTCAATAAATCCTCTAGATTGCACAATAGTTAAATGATCATAACTTTGTTCCAACAGTCCCTGGGGATACACATTATGTTTCCTTTAACAGTATTTATTGCAAGTATGGGCAGGCCCAGGATGAAAATTTATAGACATAGGACTGTCCTCTGTACAATTTTACTGAGAACTGAAAACTCTTTTGAGTATCTGCATACCTAGCAGAGGAACAAGAACAGAAGCAGGAAAAAAGTATAATGCAAAAAGGGCTGTACCTGATTCTAAGAAGCATTATCTCGATGGACAGTTGATAAGGGGAGCACAGGTAACTTACTTTCCATGTGATATTTTACTTATAATCAAATAATAAGCTAGGTTTGTATTTCCAGCTGAAAGAAAAGCAGCAGCAGCCTAAGCAGAATACCAGAAGGTAACTGAACTGAATGAGAATTTTTTAAGTAGTTATGTAATTCTGAAATTTTAAAAATTGACACACAGAGGTGTGTAGTGGAAATGAAATAGGTCTACTGATCAAGTCCCATGATAACAGGTGCTCAGGTTCTATTCTGCTACACTAGAATTTTTTTCTATGAAACATGGTGTGAAGTAAGTGGGTCAAATACAAACTCTAAGGAACAGCATGGAAGTTCTTTAAAAAATAAAAACAGAGCTACCATATGACCCTGAAATCCCACTCCTGGGCATATATCCAGAGAAAAACATGGCCCCCAAAGATGCATGCACCGCAATGTTCACTGCAGCACTGTTTACCATGGCCAAGACATGGAAGCAACCTAAATGTCCACTGACAGAGGGATGGATAAAGAAGCTGTGGTCTGCTGCTGTCCTGGGTCATGGCCGACTCTTTGTGACCCCATGGACTGTAGCCCACCAGGCTCCTTTGTCCTTGGGGATTCTCCAGGCAAGAATACTGGAGTGGGTTGTCATGCCCTTCTTCAGGGGAAGATGAGGGGTATACACACACACACACATAAATACATATACATACATGTGTGTATATACACACATACATATGTATATACCTACATATATATGTATACACACACACAGAGAATGGAATATTACTCAAAAGAATGAAACAAAGCCATTTGCTGTAACATGAATGGACCTAGAGTATCACACTGAGTGAAGTAAGTTAGACAGAGAAGGAGAAATATCATGCGTTGCTGCTGCTGCTAAGTCAATTCAGTCGTGTCCAACTCTTTGTGACCCCATAGCCGGCAGCCCACCAGGCTCCCCCGTCCCTGGGACTCTCTAGGCAAGAACACTGGAGTGGGTTGCCATTTCCTTCTCTAATGCACAAAAGTGAAATATGAAAGTAAAGTCGCTCAGTCATGTCCAACTCTTCATGACCCCATGGACTGCAGCCTACCAGGCTCCTCCGTCCATGGGATTTTCCAGGCAAGAGTACTGGAGTGGGGTGCCATTGCCTTCTCCAAAATATCATGTGACATGCCTTATATTTGGAATCTAAAAAGAAATGATACAAATGAACTTACTTACAAAACAGAGACTCACAGACTTTAAATAGGAACTCATGGTTGCTGGGGGGTAAGGGATAGTTAAGGAATTTGGGACGGTCATGTATACACTGCTAATGTAAAATGGATAACCAACAAAAACCTATTGTACAGCACATGGAACTCTGTTCAAAGTTATGTGCCAGCCTGGATGGGAGGGGACTTTGGGGGAGAATGGATACATGTATATGTATGGCTGAGTCCCTTCACTGTTTACCTGAAACTATCTCAACATTGTTAATCAGCTATACCACAATAGAAAATGTTTTTGTTGTTAAAAAAAAAAAATCAAAAAAAAAAAATTGGAAAAAAAAATCTCTAAGAAACCTTGAAAATGTTCTCAAAAAAAGAAAAATGGTAAATACGTGACGTGACAGAAGTATTCATTAACTTCATGGGTGAAATCCTTTTGTAATACATAATGTATATCAAATCATCATGCTGTGGACTTTCAATGTTTTAGAACCTTATCTATCAATTAAAACTCAACAAAGTTGGGGGGAAAAAAGGAACTCTTGAGATTTCTGTTGTGGTTATATTATGGTATTTATTATAATGGAATATGACTGAATATTCATTGGAAGGACTGATGCTGAAGCTGAAACTCCAATACTTTGGTCACCTAATGCAAGAAACTGACTCAGTGGGAAAGACCCTGATGCTGGGAAAGACTGAAGGCAGGAGGAGAAGGGGACGACAGAGGATGAGATGGCTGGATGGCATCACCGACTTGATGGACATGAGTTTGAGCAAACTCCGGGAGCTGGTGAAGGACAGGGAAACCTGGCATGTTGCAGTCCATGGGGTCACAAAGAGTCAGACATGACTGAGTGACTGAACTGACTGAATTGATGACTGATACATCTGACTTTTACGCATTGGTTAGTATACCTAGCCTTTTTCACTAAATTGCACGTTACCTGAAGGTCTAGCTCTCAGGTGGATCCTAAGCTCTCTAGTTAGGTAATGCTGTCAAGGGAAAGCACAGGACTAATTAAAGGCTATGAGTCCTGGAGTTTTGCTTTGTTCTACCCACGGCACAAACCATGCCCTGACATCTAGCCAGTACCTAATGATAGTATGCTGCTACTGAAAGTGGGTAACAACAAAGTACGGATGAACTCTGCAGACTCAACACAAATATGGGGGGGAAATTAAAGCCTCTACTTTCCAGATGGGACAACAGAAGGGCTAATTCATGTGAAAAGGGCAGTACACACTTTTGAGACTCCAGGGCATTACTGCAGGCGCTTCATGGTTTGTTCAATTAATGCCCTGGAGACTAACGAAGGTTCATTAACTTTTACTAGATGTTAACAGCAAACAGAAGAACAAAAGGGACATAGTGGATATTAAATTTTGGGGTAGCTTCTGTGGCTGGCCACGCAGAGTCCTACACACCTCTCCAGCACCACTCACCTGGAGAAGCTGCTGTGGATGCCAGCCACTGCTTTTTCTCCCTTCCCAAACAGATACAGCTTGGTCTAGAGCTGCACTGCCCCATAAGAAGGAGAATTATTCACTTCACACCCAACAGCCCCATGGAGCTCAGCGTCCTTATATCAGTAACAGCAGATAGTCAGGGATGGGAAATTATTAACCAAAACTTCTCAAAACTCCCTCTCAGACATACACTTTTCCTCTACTCCAGGTCTCAAGGTCTTTGGTTAGCCTACCGTAAGGCTTGAGGGGTATTAAAGTTAGGCCGAGGCTCAGCCACACGTTCCTCCTCTTCTGGGCCATCATCTTCCATGTTGTAGAATCCCATCTCATCTTGAAACTGAGGGCAAAGGAAAAGAAGGATTTTCTTGGGAAATGGGCATGTAAAAGTCACTCCAACATCAAAAAAAATTTTTTAAAGTCACTCCAACAGTGACAGGGGAAAATGAAGACTGGTTTACAGGACTTTAATAATGCTGGCACACAGAAGAAGCTTGCACTGGATCCTTTCTCACTTATGGGCTCAACCAGTCCAGCACATGGCATAATTTTCATGCCAGAATAAAACTTTCTCACTTGGTCAACTTGTAATGGTAAAGACAGAGCATGGATAACTCAAAATGATGAGAGTATCTTTCAAGAGAGAAATTTATGAAAAAAGAAACTATAATTAGTTTGCAATCTTTAAGGATGCACCATGTGACAGTTGAAGAGGCTATGTAAAAGCTCATAAGGAAAACTTTCCTAAGATACGGATATTCAAAGTTCACTAGTTACCAAAATTCTCCTGTCACTATATTCTCTCCTGGGTGGACTGACAGGGGAATGGCTTGGTCAGACATGGTCAGACCACTGTTCTGGAGAGAGAGGCCCTGAGACCAAAGGACAGAGCTTGCTGGAGAATCCACCTTTTGTGTCCAGAGTTCTCGTTCAAAGATCACTACTCACAGTTTCAAACGACTCTTCCATCAGTTCATTCATGTCCTTTTCTGCAAAAAAGCCAAATAATATGTTGTTGGCACACACTTGTTTCATTTTGCAATAGAGGGAATTCCAGGAAAACAAAGAGAGTTATTTTTAGCAAGGCTTTTGACAAAATCCTCAAATGTATTAATATCCATGATTCACTCATTCATTTAAAAACATTTATTGAACAACAATTATATGCCTTAATCCCTGTTCTAGATGCTCAGATATATGACAGAAACTCTCATGAATGAAGCTTAAATTCTAGTGGGAAAACAAACAAAAACATAAGGTAGGCAATTTTTTTTTAATTTATTTATTATTTGTGATCACCCTGGTCTTTGTTGCTGTGTGCGGACTTCCTCTAGTTGCAGAGAACAGGGGGTGCTCTCTAGTTTGTGGTGGCATGGGCTTCTCACTGCAGTGGCTTCCCCTGTTGCAGAGCACAGGCTTGAGGGAACTGGCTCAGCAGTTGTGGCGCATGAGCTTAGTTGGCCCAATGCATGTGGACTCTTCCCGCACCAGGGACTGAACCCATGTCCCCTGTATTGGTAAGTGGATTCTCGACCACTGGACCACCAGGGAAGTCCTACATGACTTTATGAGATAAATTCATAGTCTGCTGGCCTATCCTACTGAATGGAGTCAAGAAGTCTCCAGTAATGTGTCAAAGGACTCTATCTTTGGACCAGCAATGCTATTAACAACCAAAAACACCCAGAAAACACACTTTTCAAATTTGTAAATGATACAAAGCTGGAAGGAATCACCAAACCAACCAATGACAGATTCAAAATTCTAGGTTTTCTCAAATTAACTGGATGAAATGGAACAGTAAACAAGTCATCCATTTAGGATTTTCAAAAATCAGCTTATTAAGTGCACAAAAAGGTAACATGGCTTAAAAACAATTAATCTGAAAAAGGCCTCAATTTTTTTGGTTGGCCTTCAGATCAATTCTAGAGGACTGTGATCATTTCTATAAAAGCCCTTCTTAAGAGGGCATTAAAAAGCTAAAATCCAAATGTTTATGAGGATGTGAATCAACTGGAACTCTAAAAAGAATATAAAAGACCTTTGGAAAAAGGCAATTTCTCAGAATATACAGCTACTGTATGACCAGTGATTCCTCCCCTAGAGAGCTGACCAAAGGAAATGAAACATTTGTTCACAAAACTTACAAGAGAACATCATATACACAATGGAATATTACTCAGCCATAAAAAGGAACACATTTGAGTCAGTTCTAATGAGGTGGATGAACCTAGAGCCTATCATACAGAGTGAAGTAAGTCAGAAAGAGAAAGTTAAATATAGTATACTAATGCATATATATGGAATCTAGAAATATGGTACTGATGAATTTATTTGCAAGGGAGCAATGAAGAAACAGACATAGAGAACAGACTTATAGACAAGGGGAGAGGGGAGGAGAGGGTGAGATGTATGGAGAGAGTAACAGGGAAACTTACATCACCACACATAAAATTGATAACCAAGGGAGTTTGCTGTATGTCTCAGGGATCTCAAACAGGGGCTCTGTATCAACCTAGAGGGGTGGGATGGGGAGGGAGGTGGGAGGAGGTTCAAGAGAGAGGGGACAAATGTACAGCTGTGGCTGATTCATGTTGATGTCAGACAGAAAACAAGGTTCTGTAAAGCAATTATCCTTCAATTAAAAAATAAATTTAAAAAAACAAGAGAGTTCAGATCTATCTTTATTCAAGAAAGCCAGAAATTAGAAAGAATTAGGTGTCCATCAACAACTGGGGATTGATGAAAAATAAACAAATTGGTATATTTCTACACTGGAATTCAACTCAGCAATAAATAGGAAGAAATTAAATAATACAAGCAATACACATGATTCTCAGAAACATGCTAAGTGAAAGAAGCCTTACACAACACAACACATACTACATGATTCCATTTACATGAAGTTTTAAAACAGGCAAACACCTAATCTGTGATAGAAAAAAACAGAACTCTGGTTGCACCTGAGAGAATGGTCAGGGAACTGATCTTGAGGGGCCAGTAGGTACTTTAGGGATGATAAATATCTATCTTGTTAGGGGTTTCACTCATCAAACCTCACTGAATAGTACACTTAAGATTTCTATACAGGGTGGAGAGGGAGGTGGGAGGTGGGACCGGGATGGGGAATACATGTAAATCCATGGCTAATTCATTTCAATGTATGACAAAAACCACTGCAATGTTGTAAAGTAATTAGCCTCCAACTAATAAAAATAAATGGTAAAAAAAAAAAGATTTCTATACAATAATGTGTATAAACATACCTAAAAAGACAAACTGTAAACAAATATTCAGTTTTAATTCATGATGAATGTGGGCTAAGTCGCTTCAGTCGTGTCTGATTCTTTGCAAACCGATGGATTGTGGCCTGCCAGGTTTCTCTTTCCATGGGATTCTCCAGGCAAGAATAATGGAATGGGTTGCCATTCCCTTCTCCAGGGGATCTTCCCGAAGGATTGAACCTGTGGTATCTTATGTCTCTTGCATGGGCAGGTGGGTTCTTTACCACAAGCACGACCTGGGAAGCCCATAATTCATGATATGCATGATGAAATGTTTAGATATCTACAACTCACTATGAAATACTTAAAAAAAAAGATTAGGAGATGGATAGAGAAATAAATGAAGAGCTGCATAATTAGTATATGAAAAGTTAACTATTGAAACTAGGTGGTGAGAATATGGGTGTCCACTGTACAATTCTTTCAACTTTTCCATATGTTTGAAAAGTTTCATGATAAAATGTAATGAGGGAGAAATTTTCTTAAAAACAAAGGCTAGAATCCAGAAGAAGGTTAACTTGGAGGTTGAAGTGTGGAAAGTCTGAAATGTACAGAACTAAAGAAACTTGGTATGTTTAGCACAGTAAAGAAAAAAATGTAGGAAAAGAAACATACTAGGCATATTTGGGGGTAAATTACATTCTTAGCAACAATGGACAAAAAGAGAAATATAAAAGATAGATTCAAGTTCAATAAGGAAAACCTTAACTGAGGAGGTGTTTGAGAGTAGAACACACTATCTGCAGAATTGATGAACTCCCTGTCACCTGTTCCCCAAACAGATTCAAAGGCCACATCAGAAAGGCCATGAAAATTCTTATGTGGGAGGAAAACATATGTAACCACAGGAAGCTTGCCAAACTCTGTGATTGCATACTATAGTAAAAAGTGATCTCTTGCAGTTCTTGAGTATTCTCCATCAAGTTTAGCACAATACCACAGACCTTGAATAATAACCATGGGACCCATACAAAGTGCCACTAGTGATGCTGGGAAGTGCTCCCAAGAAGCACAGTCATGACATTACACGAGAACACTGAATTGCTTGATAGGTACCAGAGACTGCAGTCTGCAGCTGTGATTTCCTACCATCTCAAGATAAACGAAGCCAGTTTAAGGACCTTTGTAAAAAAGAAAAGGAAATTCATGAAGTCACAGCTGAAGCTATGCAAGCAGGTGCAAAAACCTAGTGCTTTTTGCAAAATACTTTTTTATCAAGTAGGAAAGGAAAAGGGCAAATATAAGGAAGAAACAATTGAGAAGATGCAGAAATAAAGTCATCTTGTCTACAGTTGTCATTAAAAACTGTTAAAATGAAAAAAAAGAGAGAATGCAATTTTTAAGTGGGTGGAGGATTGCTATAAGAAAGACATACCTATCTGACACGATTTGAGAAACAGCAAAGTCATTATACAATTTAAAGCAAAAGGACGGTGAAGAACATAAGGCTAGAGAATTTAATGCCAACAAAGGATGGTTTGATAATTTTAGAAAGAGGTTTGGCTTAAAAACTGTCAAGATAACAGGAGAAGCAGCCTCTGCTAATGCAGAGGCAGCAGACAAGTTCCCAGATGGCATTAAGAAAATCATTGAGGAGAAGGAGTATATGCCTGATCGGTTTTTAGTGCAGATGAAAATGCCCTAATCTGGAGGAGGGGGAAAAAAGCCACAAAGGACATTAATTAGTAAGAGAGAGAAGCAAGCACCAGGATTTAAGGCAGGGAGGGAGAGACTAAGTCCACTGTTCTGTGAAAATGCACTCAGGTTTATGGCCAGGACTGCTCTTCTCTATTAAGTTGCTCGCCCCAGAGCCTTGAAGGGAAAAGATAAAACAGAAGCTACCGGTCTTTGGATATTAAAAAAAAAAGAAGGCCCTTTCTCGGAATTGGTTCCATCAATGCTTTGTCCCTGAAGTCAGGAAATACCTTATTTTTTAAGCTTCTTTTCATATCAGACAGTGCCCCTGGCAACCCAGAACCCCATGAATTCAACACTGAAGGCATCTAGTGGTCTACTTGCCTCCAAACCTGTCTCCAATTCAGCCTTTAGATCAGGGGTCATGAGGACCTTAAAGGCGCGCTGCACATGATATTCTATGGAAAGGACTATCACCTATACACAAGTGCCCCTACGGAGAGAACATCATGTAAGTCTGGAGGAAGGATTACACTATGGAAGCTGTCAACGCTGTTAGGGAAAAAGCCAAGAAAGCCATCAAACCTGCAACAACAAATCCCCACTGGAGAAAACCGTGTTCAGAAGCCATGCATGAATTCACAGGATTTACGACAGAGCCAATCAAGGAAATCATGAAAGAGATTGTGAATATGGCCCCAAAAAGATGGGGGTAAAGAGATTCAAGTTTTGGACCTTAGAGAAATTCAAGAGCTAACAGACACCACACCAGAGGAATTAACAGAAGATGACTTGATGGAGATGAGTGCTTCCAAACCAGTGCCAATGAGCACTGATATAAGACAAACTAATATAAGACAATCTGGCAGAAGAGTTCTGATTATTCAAGACTCTTTTTTCATTTCTTTTACATGGAGACTTCATGGTACACACTCTGAAACCAAAGCACATGGTGGGAGACGGATTGGTACCACACAGAAACATTTTTAGAGACATGAAAAAGCAAAAAAGTCAGACAAAAATTACAATGTATTTCCACAAGGTCACATTCTCTGCTTCCTCATCAGCCT